ACCTCAGGGCTGACAAGACTGCAGCAACAGGAGCACAGGTCTTAATCCCAGTTCTGGCACTTCCTTGATACTCCACGCTGCTGCCTGTGTTTCCATGCCCGGTCTCTATAGATTATTCAGGGCAAGCGCTGGCACACGCTTATGTTTGTCCAAGGCCTGGCAGGGCAGAGCTCTGCTCCTGCACCCATGGCTGGCTGAGGGCAATGCTGAGGGCAGTGTCCATGGGAAGCACTGCCTCAGGCAATACCTGTGCTGAGGACCAGGAGGGGCAGCAGAAGGGGTAGGTGTCCTCTGGGGGGACACAGCACGTCACACCCAGGAAGGTTTGTCCTCTGCGAAGGGACATTGATGCAGCAGATGAAGTGTTTTTTCTGCAAGGACACAGCATCCTTTCAAAATGTAGCAAATGCTTTCTCCAAGTTATTCAGTTACAGGTTCCAAACTCCCAAACTACACAAATCTCCTGAGAAAATGCAAGTCAGTCAGAGAGGAATCTTGGAGTCACTTCAAACGTTTTGCCAATAATTCATGCAATGAGATTAAAAAAGCCATTTCTTCCTTTGCCAAGTACACAGAGAGCAGAGTGTTCTCTATTGTGTAGGAACATCACAGCATGTAGCATTTGACAAGGAAAGGTCACTGGGGAGGGGCCACAACTCCTTTTTTAAGAGATTGCTACCGATGTCCTTTGGAAAAACTGGTTTTACTCTGTAGCAAAAGCCATAACTGAATGCCCAGCTAACTGGGCTGAAATACCTGCCTGTGGTTTCACTTAAAGAGATTCTGTTGGAGGGTTCTCTGCTCTCTATCTGACTTGGGCCCAACCTTCCAGTGGTGTAAATCAGCAGACACCCATTGATTTATCCTGTCTGAATACTTCAGTGTTCTAATCCACACTGCAGCACAGGCAAGATACCAGGCAGCAGAAATGAGCTGAGAGCAGAGGGTCAGGTTCAAAGGACTCTCAGGGTACAATGTGCCAGATTTCCCCAGACTTCAAGGGACATATAGCATTTTTTTCAGGGGAGTAAGAAAGCTACTCGAAACTAGTCCTTAGTCCAATGCAGTAGTACAACAAAAGAGAGAAATAGCAACCACAAGTAAACAGCCATAAACTAGTGATGCCTCCCAAACTACTTCTCCTCTTGCTTTGACAGGTGGGTGAGGAGCAAATTCCAGCCATGGCAGACCATCTAGTCTTCACTAGATGATCTATCACTTCCCTCATTCTCTAACGCAACAGTTGTGGCCCCACAAAAATCTAGCCACAGTGAACAGACAGGCTGCTACAAGATGTAACAGGAAAAACTTCTCTGGAAACACACGGAAAACCTTGGAAAACAGTTTGCTAAATCTAGCTACAAGTTGATGGGATGGGACAGGAGACCTCAAAATTGGAAATCTCTGGCAAAAAGCCACTGTGGTGTAAGCACAGCTCCAGACACAACACAACAGAAACACAGATCCAAAATCCCCTTTCATTGTAATAAAATTGGAGCTATTTCATCATGACTGATTTCATTGTGTCATTATCAATTTATCCTATGTAAAGTGAGAGATGACCCTCAGCCCCCAGGGAATTAAGAAAATGCTACAGTAGTGTGAGGAGCATATCAGGGGGCTCAGAAAATACCACTAGAAACTGCCTGCAGAAATCCCCCGACAATCTCAGACAGACCATCCTCACAGTGAGACACAATAGCAGGACAAAGCCAGGCAGCAGGGCTATTAGAGGATCCGTGGAAGTAAGAATGCAGGAAATAACAGGCTATCCAGCCAGTGGTCTCTCTAAGCACATAACCTGTCTCCAACAGTGACTGTAATTCAGAAAAAAAAACCCACTCTGCAAGAGGTAATTATATAACAAGGTAAAAGTAACAAGATTTTCATGCAACTTCCTCCCAAGCACTGGTAGCTTCCAGCTGGCTCCCCTACAGAGCAAATCCCATCCCAGACTTGACTGTACCTTTATATTTCAGGATTTCTTCATGATTCGCCTGAAACAGCCCATCTCTTTTTGTATCTTTCCAAGATCATGGCCTCATCAAATCATTGTACTGCAGAGTTCCATCACTAACAGTGCACTGGGCTGAAATAAAAACAAAAAAAGTATTTTTTTCTACCAGTGGTGAGTTACTGCTAATTCAATTTCAGTGGCTGCCAATCACCGATTTCTAGAGAGGGCCATGAAAGGCTACTTGTTTTGTTACCAAGCAGACAGAAGGCATTCTGGTAGTTGATAAAGAGTTTCTAGGAAATGGCAGGAGAATTAAAAAACCCTGTAGCAATAGCAGGATGACTTGTGTGTCTGTGGAGGGACAGCTTGGTGACTCCAGTTGACAGTATGACCCCCTGGCATGCAGGGAAGGCCTGTTTGCCTCATAGCTGCGAACAATTAACGGATGGAATTTGTTCTCTTGTAACTTGTAAACCTAATGAGCTGGGCTGATGCAGGGCTGCCAGTAAATCCCATCAACTCCTCTAATAGTTACAAAAGAGCCACTTCTTCATCTGAATCAGTGCAGATTACGCAACTGCTGCTTGCACCAGCATCTGAGCACCCCGCCCACTGCAGCTCACACTGTTTCATCCTGGGACATCACAGAAATCCCCAGTGGAAATACCCATGATTATAGCAGAGGAGGTAACTGAGATTCCTGGGAGACAGAAAATGGACTGTCCATTGAAAAGGATAATTTTCACCCTTGTGAGGAACTTTCTTAAGATGCATTGCGGTGGAAGTAGACATTACAGGACCATTAGTAAAAACTGTAGTGTGATGCCCAGTTTCTAAAGGTCATTGGTGGCAAAGCTTACCACAAAGCCAATGAAATGTTAATGTTTACAGCATGTACTTGTCACTGCTGGCCAGCAAATTCCAAAGATAAAACACAACAAGAATTCTGCTTGATGATAATATTTAAAAAATCACCAGTGGAAGCTTGTGACATGTTACAAAATGGCAAAAGGATTAGACATGTTTTAGGGATTACAAAGTGGAGAGAGAATGAGAAAAGCCCACAGAACTACCAAGAGTCTACCATTTTTTTTGTATCTGTGGATTACAGCTTGGTGGCTCCAGCAGGCTGTGGGACCTGCAGTGCACACAGGGAAGGACCTGCAGGACTCCTGCAAGATACCATTTATTATTCAGCTGGAAACACAGTTAACACCACTGGGATTTGGTCTCCCTCATAAATGTGAACAATTTTTACTTAGAGCAGTCAAGTGGCCAAGGGCTCCTTCAGCCTGTGGGACTACAGAGTACAGTTTTAAGCAGTTTTATTAACTTTAGTTTAAATCACTTCCAGTACTGATCCCCCTAAAGATCAAAGCTGTTCCATCATTTATACCTGGCAGGCAGTAAAATCCTTACGTAAATCTGTAAGACCCCTTGTTAAGTTTAACATTCATCACTTAACACTGCTTAGCTGCTAACCAGGGAAGAGTGTGCCTGCCAGGCCCAGTCAGTGCCATCTGCATCTCTGCAGCAAGGATCAAAGCTTCAGAAAAGGAGTCAAAGGCTTCGTCCAATGTCTGTTCCTCCAAAAGACACAGATGGGAGATGGTCCTTGGAGAGAGCATCTCTGTCCCCCATTTCCTCTATGCCCCCACAGTAGCTATGTCTGAATTCCTTAAGTTAGTAGGAAATCTCAGAGAGCTACAGAAAACATTTTGTGCCTAATGAGGCCTTCTTGGACCACAGTGTCATCAGACACTACCATGTCCTGCTAATGAGCTTCTCTCTCTGTGCAGCGTGGAGCTGCACTGAACTGAACTCTCCCCATAGGACAACATGGCAGGAACTGGCAGATTAAACTTTCCACTGGACCAGGGACAGTTGCAAGGCACTGGGATGGCATCCAACTTCAGCTAAGTGGAGTAGGGATTGAGAACATGAATTTATAACCAGCAACCATCAATGAGGCGTAGGGAGCCATGTGTACAGCATACACTTGGGAAAGAGGACTGGGACTAGGGAAGAGTTGACTTCACCTAATGTAGGACAGATAGGACATGAAAGGACCACATCTATCCACTACAAAACAATGTAGGAAAATACACAGATAAGACCATCGTGACTTAAAAAAAAAATAAAAAAGGCAGAAAACAGATATGTCCCATCAATGCTTGAAAGCAATGCATCCCTTCCTTGGATTTAGAAAATGCATCCTGTACAGCCAAGGATGTTCAGAAGGATATCCAGCAGCCCTAGGCAGGGGCTGTAGTAGTAAGAAGGTAAATGTCCCATCCCTAAGAGATGACAAGTCTGGAATGCAAACCATGAGAGGGAACAATGGAAGACAAGGAAGTGTAGAAAGTGTAGTAGCGTGAACTACACAAGAAAACAAGAGAAAAACTGTAAGATGGAGAGATGGATACCACCCAGAAGAAAACTGCAGCTACCTAACACAGCAGTTTCCATTCCACTTTGACTGGTACAAGTGCAGAGTCTCTGCTATGTGATGGGCCAAGCCGTTTTTTTGGGAAACACTTTTTCTTGAAGTTTCCTCCTCTTTTTATGTCTCATTTTCCTCCTCCTTCCTCTCTTCTACTCCCTGCCTCCCTCCAGGCAGAGATATGTTTCTCTCAGCTGCTTCTGTGCCTGTGACTTTACTGCATGGGGAAGTCAGTCCGGAAGGTCACCTCTTTCATCAAGTATTCTATTTGCATCCAAAATTGTATGTACATGAAAAATGTGGTCGTGTGTTGCACCTAGCTGCAGACGCAGATGAAATTCTGTGGAAAGCCTGATGCACACTAACCTTTGCAGATGGTGCAGCTATTGCTGAAAAATGGATTGCTTAATAAAGCATATCATCCGACATATTTGCTGCTTGGCTAGCCAAATAGAAGTTGTTTTTTGCACAAATTTCCTTGTCAAATTTGTCAATGTTCATGTCATTTTTGCTTTAGGTCACAGAGCAAGGTGCAAATTCTTGGCATCTTTACTAGTTGCAAGCCAATTTCGGCTATTTCTAACAATGAAGTGAATTTCTCTGAGGATAAGACACTCACTGTATGGGGAGGAAAGGAAAACAGCAGGAAGTGGATAATTTTTTTCTGATTTTTTTTTTGTTGCTTTCTCTCTTTTCTTTTTTCTCTTTCCTTCTGAGAGATAACATTTGCATTCATTTATGGACCTTGATAATTCATAGCAGAAAGAGGCCTTTTAGCCTGTTAAATCATTTATGTTGCTTGACTATTTGGTGCATGATGCACACAGATTTTTGCATTGGTGTACAGAAAATGTATCTCTTCTTGCAGGAAAACTTGCAAGAGAAGAAAAGATACATTCCTTTGGATTCTCAGATGTGGAAGTCAGGGGGTTCTCCCCTTCCAGCTGTCTGCTAGAAGAGTTTTAAACCTTCCAACCTCTTAGACTAAAAGCAACATAACGTTCTATCACAGATTTAATCTGTGTTGTTTGTTTACCTACCTGCTGTATACCCTTTGCCAACAGACACATCCTTGTCCCTGCTCAGACGCAAGGTTTTCAAGCCTCTTCCCTTCCTCCTGGGTTTCAGAACTTTTTTCCACAAGGTGCCTTCCCAGACAGTCATCACAAGCTGCTCTACTCAGAAACAAAAGTGAAGATTGTGATTACCATGTTTGCTATGATAACAACCTCAGCAAGGAGGGACTTCAAAAATGCACTGCACTACCATGAGGAAACAATACCAGCCTCAGGCACTGGACTTCATCAGGAGGACCACAGGGAACTTGGGCATGAAAGCAAATATGGTGCATACCTGCAAGAGCTCGAGCCCCATTCAAGTCTTTCCTCCACCTCATGGCATCACCGAGTCAGGTCATAGGAAAGAGGGCACTTCTGGGCCTTGGTGACTCCTCAGAAGACCAGATCCTACCCCTTCAGTGATGCTGCATGCAGTGCTGGCAGCATCCACTTTGGGGTACAGAGCTGCACATCCAGCCATCCAACTCGACATACCACAGTTTATCCAGACCTCCATAAGGAGGTCTGCAATTTAGGTGTCAGGAATGCTATTTAGTTTGCATTTCCATTTTTGTTCAGTAACTCATCAGATATGGTGTTTTCCATTTACTAGGAACAGATGCATTCCTCTCTGGGCTGTGCTGTACTCCTGTAAAAATTACCTTTCTCTTTGGAGGATTCATTTCTCCCTGAATGCCCACTCAATTCAAAGTCCTTTATCAAGTATACCCTTCTACAAAGATGCACCATTTGCCAAGTGCATCCTCCAGTGATCTATTCCTATAAAAGGAGGACTTTGCTGCAGGACACAGGCATTTGACATAATCCCATTTGCCTCCCGAATAAGCTGCCCCTTCAGAAAGAACATTCTTCTGCAAGGAACATTTTGTTTACAAGGTTTATTTTGTTAGCAGGTGTATTCCCACTAGTAAGTTTTTTCCACTGCACCATTTTTTTTTAAAGGTCTTGTTTGGTAGCCAGATAGCCGAGACTGCCTGTGATAAAGCCAGCACAAGTGATTAATAGCAAAGTCTCTGCCATTTTATTATTAATAGCAGTGTGTTGACTCAATTAAATCCAGCCTGCTTTTTTTGGCAGGCCTTTGCAATTATACATATCATTATGGGCTGCAGCCCAAATGCATCCTGGGAGTAGACCAGAACTCCACATTAACTTTTCTGGCTCTCTCTTTGCAGGTTGGCCACTGTAACATGTGGGCTATAACCAATCCAGGCTGTTTCAGGGATGGCAGAACAGAGGAAGAAGGAAAAATGGCAGAGGCAAGGATCACACCTAGAAAGTGCACGCTCCCTCACAGCCATAAACAGCCTGGCAAACGTATCCTGTATCCACCCCTCCACAGTGAACCCCATAAACACAGTGTAATCTGTCTGGACAGTACCTGTTACCAGCAGGGGCGATTTTCCAGCACACTAAGGGGTGTGTTCAGTAGTCTCTTCCAAAACAGACTTGCAAGCTGATTGGCCTGGCTTGAAGAGGCACTGAACTGAGGTTCAAGCCTTTATTGGAGAAAGGCTCCAGCAGATTGTTTCCTGGTGGTAAGAGAGTGATCTCCTAGTAAAGCTGGAATACCCTAAACCCAAAGTACCCCAAAGTGGGCTGTAGGCATACTCTATTGATGAACATACTTGCTGCCACCTTTTGACACATCTCAACTAGCCTTTTGGGAGGAAAACCAGTCATGAGCCTAAGGCATAAGACTAAGACCAAGTCAGGTTCTCAGCACTGATAATGGACTCCATGTATGATTCCAAGCGAGTCTTCAAAGTCCTGGGATATTTTCCGTAGCCTTCAAACTCAAGGGATCCATGAGTCATTCAGATCACTTGTTATTTGGTGGCACCAAGCTTGGGTGCCTAAATGGTCAACAGATATGCGTAGACAAAGGTAGGTTGCCTTATCTCAGGTTTTGAAGAAAGCCAGAGTCTGGGGACCCTGGACAGGTGGTGAAGTGAAGCTTTGTGGTTTTCTCACAGCCTTTCATGAAAGCCTATCCATAAAATGATGTTCTGTTAATCACGGGAGAAAGCTCTTTTTGGACATTAGACTTGTATATAAAGCACCTAGCACGGTGAATGTTTGATCTGAGTGGTAGGCCTTGCCATCACTCAGATAACAAATAACAGACATGAAGTGCTGGAAGAACAACAGGGTCTGGCCCCTTGCAAAAGCAGCATATGTTGCTCAGAAGCACTGACCCATCACTGTCCTTTGCAGACTGGGTGGGCTTCATCTTCCTGCTAACCAGAACAGGCAACTCCAGTGACACCCTCTAGCATGCATACGATCTGTGACACCTCTCACTATGACTGCTGGATTTTTCTTCCCAAGCCCACTGCTCTCTACAGTTGTAGATCTAGATTCTTCTCTCCAATGAAGACTGGAAACACCCCACCTTCCTGCAGGCACCTAGGACACTACCACTCTTCCTATAGTATTAGGGGAGATCCCAACAAGCCACAGCTGAAGCCCCACAAAAAAAAAAAAATAGGTCCAGTTTCCCATTACTTCAACACAGGGGGCTTTTCAGCTGAAGGCTCTTTTCAGCTTGTGCTACTTCATCTTCCAGAAGCCCATTAAGACAGGAGGGCACTCTGTGCTTTCCATCCCAGCTTGGCCTGTTTCCATCCATGTCGTCCATCTGGTTTATTTGCTGGCATCAGACAATCTACAGCTGTGGGGCTCTTGCTAAACCAGGGTGGAAGAGTTTAAGCACTTGGCCTATAATCTCCTCCCAGTGCCTATGATGCCTTTCAGGAAATAATTCTGCTGCTGGAAAAGGGAATGCAGAGATGTTCTGCTGTCCACATTCCCCTGAACAGCTCTCAGCAGTGCAGAGAGGACTTTGTACCCAGCTCCAGCCATTGATGAAGCTGACAGCTGCAGAGTGGCAGAGCTTATGATGAGTAAGTGCTTCCCTGAGGAACCTCAGCAACATCAGCAAGCACCACCTCTGACAACACTGAATTTAACTACTCTTAGCATGCCTGGGAAAGACCCAGGGAGTTCTGTCAGACAGGAGGAGATTCACATATAGCAGTGGGGAGGACAGGGCCAAGAGGATTGATGGAGATATTTGCAGGTTTTGTACAAACTTGGTTTCTTCCCAGACAAAAGCAGCTGCAGATCCATGGATGTGGCTTGCAGGAGTGCCTCTCCTAGCAGTATGCCTGCTTTGCCCGTGCCTATAGCTGTGAGAAAGATAAACACAACTCTGGATGATGGTCTTCAGAAATCTACTTTAAAAAGGTGTACCCTTCATGGACTAGGTGGACACCACAGCCATGTCCACACAATGACTGGGCAATGCCACTTTGTTTAAAAATATGTTAAGAATCTAAGACATTTGTTATCTTCTTGTTTCAACAGGAATCTCATTTTGATTTTTATATAGCACAAAGGAGGGCTATAAAGATGGTGAAGGGCCTTGAGGAGAAGCCATATGAGGAGTGGTTGAGGTCACTTGGCTTGTGAAGTTGTGTCAGGGAAGATTTAAGTTAGGTATTAAGAAAACGTACTTCACCCAGAGGGTGGTTGGGCACTGGAACAGGCTCCACAGGGAAGTGGTCATGGCCCCAAGCCTGGCAGAGTTCAAGAAGCGTTTGGATAATGCTCTTAGGCACGTGGTGGGATTCTGGAGACTGACCTGTGCAGGGCCAGGAGCTGGACTTTGATGATCCTTGTAGGTCCCTTCCAACTCAGGATATTCTACGATTATATGATATATAGCACTGACCATCTATGAAGCTGGGCAGAAGAAACTGACTTTTCTTGCAGGATATTAGAAAAAATATTCAGTTTTATTCCAAAAACATATGCTTTCCCCATTACCTTATAAATCAGATGCAGACTTGACCCACATCTCAAACATGACAGAAGGGGACTCAAGCATTACTATAGAGAACCCAGCCACAGCTCAGCACAACAAAGTTTAATTATATAGAGCAACATCACATATCCTGCTCTAGACACGGGGCTCCTGACTTTCAGTGTGATGTCGGCAGTTCCATCACTTCAAGGTCTTTTTATTTTTAAGGGTGATTGCAGAGATTCAGAGAGGCCAAAGTTCTCAAGCCAGCTGGTAACAAACCAAAATGCTTATTACCTCAGTGAGTAAGTCTGCCTTCCTCTGAGACTTCCCTTAATCCCAGGATGAGTGACCACCAGAGAGGAGATGATCAGACACTTGCAAGGGCTGTCCCTGTCGCCCCAGGACCAGTTAGTGGGAACAGAGCTGTTATTGCTTCTCTGTTATCAGTTACGGCAGGAGATTCCTTGCCTTGTGGCTGAGGCTGCGTTGTACATACGACTCACAGAACATAACTAAACCATGTAAAATGTCATCCTGTGTTTGCCATTAATAAGCTTTCAATTAATAACACAAATTTCTGAGAACACCCCAAGCTTGAAATTCCGCACTGTGCTGCCTAGCAGAGCCAATCAGGGCAGTCTCAGAGCCAAGCCGTAATAAAGCAGTTTTCCTTTCCAGAAAAGATCTCGCCTTGCTGCTGTAGTTGGAAAACCCCACCCCATGCACATATGGGATAAAACATCCCGTAACTTAGAGGATCACAGGAAAGCTTCCAAACTGAGGTGCAAAGCTTTTGTTTTCAAATATCACAAGACCTGATTCTGCTTACTTCCTGATGTAAGTTACCCCTGATGTACATGGGATTGATCAGCTGTACTAACAGGAAGACAAGAACTGGAGCTGTATTTAGGAGGACCATAGTCAAAATTTAATGTATCCAAAATCACAGGTACTAATGTGATGCCACCTGACACCAGTTTTTCCACCACATATGCAGTTTTTCAATACTCATTGTATACACATGAGCTTTTTTCCTTTTGTAAGCACAAGTACACAGGAAACCATGGGCAAATTTAAGCTTGTATTAAACGTACGTAAACCTTTCTGAAGGTAGATCTAAAAAGCCTGGCTGTGCATATACCCCTCACACACATAAAGGCAAAGATAAGGAACGCATTGCCACCCTTCCAGGCCCTGCACCCTCTGCTTCCTGTACACAGCTCACCTACCTGGAAGAAAATACCTTTCTTTCTGGCATGCAGACAAAGCCCCTCAGCATTCCCAAGGGCACTCTCTCTCACAGACACACAGAGCAAAGCATCTTCCTTATTTCTGCATTACTTGTGCAACTCCTTCCCTGTATCTATAGTCTTGTACAATCTCTTGCTGTCTGTACACATCCATGTTCACAATATACCTTGTGGATAAGCAGGCATGCAGACAGACAAGCTCACACACACACACACACACCTCCCACCCCCATGAGGAACCCCAGGTATTGAGAGGTAATCCTCCTGGCTCACAGAGCCCGGTGAATGGAATAATTAATTTTCTGACGAGCATGAATATCACGCAAAGGCAGCCACATGGATATGGTGGAACGCTTCCAGCCAATATCCATGCAAACCGGATATTTTGATTCACCCATCCCCAGCTTCTGCTCTCAGCAGTGCTGACAGCAGCAAAGCTGAGCTTGCTGTGCTGTTTGGGAAGGCCTCACAGATCCGGCTGGCTGGCCTGGATGGTAGAAGACATCTGAACTATCATGCACAGCCTGCTCCTCCTCCCCACCAAAGACAGGGAGACCTTGCCACCTCCCACACCCTAACCTATTGCTCCCACCTGAAGTTAGCTGCCCACCAACACCCACCCCACAGCTCTGGTCTCTGGGGCAGGGGAGAAAACTGCACAAACAGTATCAGTCTGCTCAAACCTGACAGTCCTCCTCAGTGGAGAATTAAGGGAAAGTCCCTGATGCAAGGACACTAATTCTTCAGGCTGCAGATCAAAATTCTCCTCCCATCCTGGCATAAGTCTACTTGTTCTCCTCTGTTTTACAGTTAAAGGTTAAAAGTGCCTGTGTAGAGCAACTACAGACCCTAATTCCAGGGAACAGAGGAAAAGGGAGCTTAAAGAAGGACAGAGGATGCTAGGCAGAACAGTATTCTTAAGACAGTGGTTCAAACTGCACCCAAACCCAGAGGATTCCCAGTTACAGAGTTATGATATTCCTAAAAACTATAATACACAGCTCTTTACTTCTGTGCAAATATTCAGCCAGTGTTGCTATAGCATAATTGACCAGTCTAGACAGAAACAGAAAGAATGAGCTTACCATGCTGGACATCTGAGTCCCATTCCCATCTTTGACTTCAGCTCTTCATGTGTTCAGGGACAAGTTACCTCTGTTCCACAGCTGTAAGATTAACACAGAAATACTTGGCCTGACTGTTTTGCCTGTAAACTCAGATCACCAGATCATCAAGAACTCTTGTCAAGAGAGACCAAGACAGTGTGAGTTGCCTTATAACAAAATGATCCCTCGCTGCTGTAGCAAGAGCATAAGCATGTATGGCTAGAGACTTGCAGGCGTGATTATTTGCACATTGCCCATGATATGCATGTGTATCTATGACCCTTGCACGGTGCCTCACACCATGCAGTCTCTGCACACATCCCACCTCTTAAGTGCTTTTATCTTGGAATTCCCATCAGGGAAGAAAATATCTGCCAAAGCTCTTTCCAGAAGACCTGAGGCCAGGAACATAGCTGTATAGTCTTAGAGGGGAATTTGCTGAGGATTTTCACAAGAGTTCAAGTCTGAGCCAAACTTCAAGGCGATAAAATAAACTTTCCATTGTGCAGGTTTGGGTTCTATCAACACTGTGGCTCTGACGCTTCCCAGTACACTTGGTTCTTTGAATTTTTTCATCCACAGCCATGATACTTAAAAATCGTGCTTGGCTTCGACTGGGAACAGGCAAATTTAACACTCCTTTGTATGTATGAGAAGAAATCTTCTAATCTCCTATTTTTCTCTAAGAAGAGCTAGGAGAAGAACCCAGAGGAATTATCTTACTGCAAAATTGAGGCTTGCAAGTAAAAGCAGAGTCATGGAATGAAGAAGTAAAGGTCCTCGGTCATGCTGACCTTGTTTTTTCAGCTCCTGGGGTTGTTGTCCATCCACAGGAGCTCAGTATGTCACTATTTATATTTGCTAGTAAGTCCTACAAAAGAGGGAAAGTATTGTTGTGTAAGTCATTGCCCCAGTCCAGAATACACTGGGAAATTCTCACAGATATATACAGTACAGAAGCAAACAAAGACATCCAATTATCTTCCTAGTAAAAGATAGATACAGCTTTTCAAAGGGTGACATACCAAAGTGATAAGGAATTAGTCAAAACCCTGGATTAGATATGGGTTCAAAGCACTCTCCTCATGCTAACACAACTTCCCAGCCCTCCAGGACGGGCTGAGGCTGCTCTTTCCAAGACCCTGGGATTAAAAACACATGAAAAGAAAAAAAAAAACAACCAAACAAAAAACCACCATCAACAACAAAAGCAAATAAACAAACAAACAAAAACAAAAATCCTCAAGTTAACCAAAAAAAAAAAAGAAAAACAAACATCAGCAATTAAACAACCCCACATGGGTGGAGTTTTCAAGAGTACCAAGAGGGCTTAGGAGGGCAAGTCAGTCAGATGTGTGCTTCTAAGTCCCTCCACTGCTTTGGAAGACTTCCAGCCCTAAGAGTAAAATAAAAGGCAGGGGATATATATGGCTGCTAGGCTAATGAAGCTTAATTTTATCCAGCTCCTATTTATTCTTTGGTTTCGCTTCAGAGCACTGATTTCACATTCCTGCACCTTTTAGATATGCATATATATTTCATAAATAGGCAAATGTATATACACAGTCCTGAGCATGGGAGTATGTTTATACATGTAAAGCAACTGGGTATTTACAAGCTGTTTCTAAGGTTATAATATCCATTGCTATTATGAACTGCTTCATTAACCTGTCAATCACATTGCTTTCTCCCTTTCACCCCTCTCCCATGTTACTCTGTGTGTTGGAAGTGAAGCATGTGTGTTTGTGTCAAGTGTATTATTTCAGACAGTACAGACACACAGACACACATGGACGCACGCCCAGAAATTAATATGGTTTCATTGGTGCCTCCCCAGGAGCTTGGCTCTGGCCTACCCTCTGGACTTTGCTAGCCATGGAGATGCCTCTCACAGTCATTTATCACCCAGCCCCTGGCCAGCGGCACCGGGTCCCGGCATTGTGTCCCCAGGCTGCCGTGCAGGAGGAGGGGCATGTTTGCAGTGTGGTTGCAGTTTGGAAGCACTGCTGATGGACTAGTCTCCAATAAACCCCCCAAAAGTGCTGATATGCTGAAAGCAGCTGACACTGATGGATCTGCTCTCATCTTGCCTTTCAGTCGGCTGCAAGAGAGAAGAGAGAGAGGAAGAGAAACAAAGGCAGAGATTAACTCTTTTGTCACAGAGCTCTGCAGTTTTACAAGGCAAGATAAAGCTGCTGTCCAGGTTGGGTGCAGATGGGACCAGCTCAGCACAGTCTGTCTGATTCTCTATGGAGTACAATCTGGGGGAAAAAACAGCCTGAACTGCACAATGATTTACTGACAGGGCCTGTGCTGCCTAACTGAGCCTTTTAACTTTCCTTGCAGTTACAATCACAGCCAGGGAGACCAGCAGACACAGTCCTGGGCAACTGGTTCTGGGTAGCCCTGCCTGAGCACGGGGCCCGGCTGGACAAGATGACATCCAGAGGTTCCTTCCCACCTCAACCATTCTGTGATTCTCCCAGACCTGCAGGCCAGCCATTAAACCAACAACACTTGCACTGCTTTGGGTGCCACACAGCATAGTCAAACCCACACGGCACAGACCCTTGAGGTGTGACCCAAGCTACTCAGCCAGCAAAGCACACTCCTGTGGATGCAGGCTCAATAAACACAGGCATCCAGCTGGATTCATACATTTCTGTGTACGAAATCATGGAGTGGATTTTGTTTGTCTGTGATGTCAGGCATCAGACTAACCAGATCAAGTCTCAAACTGCTGCTTGTGATACCCCTCCCTAAAGCCAGTCAGAATGTTTTAATATAATTTCATTTAATCAAATGAAGTTTTGCCAAAATTGAGCTATTTGGGAAACTGGGTCCATTTGGCTCAAGTTTTTCTTGAGAACACCTTAGTTCCAAGGGGCTCAGATATGAACCCCCAGTCTGCATTTTTATGTCGTTCAGCTGCACAAGAAGCATTTGGAAAGTTTCCCTCTTCTCTCACTGGATTAGAAACTTCATCAGATGCCAAGGAGCAGGACTGTCAACTACCAGACCTCCTTTCTGAAGGACTAGCATGATATCCATATGGATTTGTCTTTTCCCCACACAGTCATGTACAGAGTTCAATGCAAATATGGCTGAAGATTCACACATCTCTTTCAATGCCTTTGCCCAGTCATATTTAACACTGACAATGTCACAGGTACAGCAGGACCCCAAATTCTCACATGCCCAACTGCAGGACCAAATGTCCTCAGAAAAGCAGACTGCACTACATTAAGCCTAAATGCACAAGGAGATACCCATACTAATACTACTAACAAAGGGTAAAAATAAAAATATTAGTGCTAATTCTTATTAATAAAAATGCCAAGCAACATTCTTCCTCCTACGGAAAATCTCGTTTCATTTGTAACCTTGATTTTCCTTGATTTGAAGAGAGGAGGTGGGATACTTTTTCTAGGTAATTCTAAAGAAAAATTTCTAAATCCATATTGAAAAATTGATCATTTTCCAGATTCAACAGAAACTGCCAAGTAGCATCTTCCAAAAACAAAGTTCATACTTTTACTCAAGAAAAAGAGAGACACCTTGTCGTGGGAAAGTCATTTTCCCATTGGGAAACACTGCTGAGCTCTAACGCTGCACAGCTCTAATTCTTGTCTGGATTTTTCAAGCCTGGTTTATCCTGCACTTGAGTTGCACAGTTCACAAGTATTGCCAGCAACTTCAGGCAAACCAATCACTGGGCGAAGTACAAATTAACAGGAACAAAGGCAGAAGCCAGCCCCAGCTGAATGTTAGGGCTGTTCCAGGGTTTCTCTCAAGATCGGGGTGCTCTAGTGCCATGTCCTGTGCAGCTTTACAAACACACAGAAAGAACCTGTCAGATCTGCAATCCACCATCAGCATAACAGTAAAGACAAGTACATTACACTTGGACATGGACACCCTCTGAAACACAGACACATCACCACAGCAAAACCTCCTGCTCTCACATACACTCTGCTGAACATGCAATCCTTTCTGAAATACAAAAAAGATCTCCAAGCCAACAAACGAAAAATGGGAGGTTGGGGTGAAGAGTCCTGAGATTTGTCTTTATTTTTCTTTTTAATTCCTAGAGAAAAAAGGGCCTTTTAAAATAAATAAGTAAAATAGTAGTAAAAGCAATGTTTCCTGATGAAATATTGATGTCTTTTGCCACATCTTTTCAGGTTTTGTCTATTGTCACCTATTTCCTTTTAATGAAAAATTCTAAAAGCTAAATCAAATCCCAGAGTTTAAAAGGGGTTTGCAGACTACTACTCCTATCCGGAGGATGATTTAAAATGAAACCTTAAGTAGAGGTCTGTTCTAAAGTCTGAAAACAACTTTGAAATTTCAAAGTTCCCCACTAAACACAAATAACAATAATGTCACCATGTCAAACGCAGACAGTCTTGGAAACAAACCCACCAAGGAATTATCGATCATCTCTTCACATGTCCTTAATAAAATCTTGGTCTCAAATCTATCCACAATATGCCATCTGCCACACACTGAGATGAAATATGGTGTGTGCTCTTGGCATCTAACACTCTGATGAACCATTTGTGAAATCTCTGCAGAATTTCACATTCTCAGTAGCACACTTTTCTAGAGGAGTGATTTTCAACTTTAATTTTATCTGTGGGCTCTTAAAAAAATAGATCTGCCTCTGAAGGGCTTAAAAGAGAATCTGTAGATAGTTACACAGCTGGTTTGAACTTGCCTTTTCCAGCAACTTTTACAGACTCACTTAGGAATAGCTTGAGTTCCCCAGGCAGTCCTGTGGACCCTGTAACCAATATTTGGTGCTGTAAGGAAGGGCTACATGGACTGTCTGAATGGAGGTCATGGAGGTTTCCAGTGCCAGGGTTAGCCCTGCCTGCGAACACCTCTGAGCAAAACCCATCTTCCCTTCCATCTCAAAGTGCTGAGAGGTGCTTAAGCAGGACACTTGAGCAAGTGCCTGCTTTCAAGTACCTGGGGATTGCTGATGGAATTCTTCTTGTGCTGCAGGTTGGGCACGTGTGCAAGCTGTGCAGAAGTGAAGCCCTAAGCAGCCACTGCAAAGCTGCTCCAGCCAGCGAGCACTGCCCAGCCACCAGAGCTCTGTGTCCAGGGAGCACATCCAGGCAGGAGATGGCTCACCTTCCCAGTCCATGCACCCACCTCAGTTCCCTCCACTCCCAGCTAGACCACAAGGGCCCATTTATTCTAAAATATGAAATTTGTGTTGTTCCTTTATTGTTCTTTAATGAAACCCTGTTTATTCTAGGCTTTTAATTCTTTCCATCTATTATGTTTAGACAACTCATTAACAATCATTTGTTATCATTAGACTTCAATTTTAAACTCCTTTTCCCAGAGGAGGCAAGGCAGTGCTTTTAAACATATTTGCATCATAAACAATTTCTGGGCCTCGTGTGCCATCTATTACCCCAGCCTTTCCTCCCTTCTTACCCGGGCAGAAGGTGCTGAAAGAGCCTTATCAAGATTTTGGCCAGGTGCAGGATAATGCATGTTTCCCCCACACCTGGAACCACTGGGGGTTCTGCATTAGGACAGCAACCCAGTGCATTAATAGGGAACTCTTGAAATCCTAGGTCATGTAATGGTGAGCTGCTCCTTCCGCTGGGATTAATGACTACATGCTGCAGCTGAATTCATTAGGGCCTGCTAAAGATAGCTTGCTAGCCTGGGATAATGCGTGGGCCTCATTCTGCTCATTTATGGTTGTTCAGCTCCACTGGATTTAGTGAAGTCATTCCTGATTTGCAGCAGGGTCCCTCGTGTGCATGCTAGATAAGCACTACGTCACACTTTGCATTCATTGACAGCTCCCAGTGGGCAAAAATCTGAT